CCAAAAATACCTTCGGAGGAAAGGGTTTATTTGGTTTAAATACCTACCTGAGCCACCATCTATTAAAGAACGCCAAGGCAACTTAACCAGGTGGTTACCTGGGGGAAGGAGCTGAGGCAGAGGCCATGGAGAGGTGCTGTTTACTGGCTTGCTCCCATGGCTTGCTCAGCATGCTTTCTTATAGAACCCAGTACCACTAACCCAGGGGTGGCCCTATCCACAATAGGCTTGGCTCTCCCACAAGGTCAGTAATTAAGAAAGTGCCCTACAGGCTTGCCTATAATGATCTTATGGAGGCATTTTCCAAAGGAAGTGCCACCTCTCTGATGACTTTAGCTTGTATCAAGTTAACATAAAACTACCCAGTACAGTGGCGTTGCCCTTGAACCTAATTGATAGGTGGCATCAAATCTGATCTTCAGTTTTTGGTTTTTTGTTTATTTGTTTTTGTTTTTTGAGACAGTGTTTATCTGTGTAACAACCCTGGTTGTCTTAGAATTCACTCTGTAGACCAGGTTGGCCATGAACTCACAGAGATCTACCTGTCTCTGCCTCCTGAGTCCTGGAATCAAAAGTGTGTGCCACTATGACTGGGAATCATTCAGGGAGAAACATAAAAGCACTTTTAAAAGAATTTTAAAGTTTATTTTTATTTTATGTACATTGGTATGCCTGTGTGAGGCTGTTGGATCCCCTGCACTGGAGTTACAGACAGTTGTAAGATGTCATGTGTGTGCTGGAATTGAACCCGGATCTTCTGGAAGAGTAGCCATCCCTAAAAGCACTTTTAAATTAACTCAATAAATAATTATATATTACAAAGAATAATTAACAAAAATTAGTTGGTTAGATAATGAAGAAAAAGACTAAGAAATTCACTCCTTTTTTTTCTTAAAAATAAAGGCAATATTTCTAATCCTGGAGAATTATAAGAATGTTGACATAATTAAAAAGGAATCTTGAAGCTGGGTAGTGGTGGTGCACGCCTTTAATCCCAACACTTGAGAGGCAGAGGCAGGTGGATCTCAGTGAGTTGAAGGCCAGTCTGCTCTACAAATAAAGTTTCAGGACAGCCAGGGCTGTTACACAGAGAAACCCTGTCTCGAAAAAACAACAACAACAAAAATAAGGAATAAAAAATACCAAACATATAAATAAATAAATAGATAGCTATATCAAAATGCAATTTAAGAAAACATGTTACACATATTTCAGAGTAACTCCCAGACAGAATAGTTTATTCCACTGGTGTTTAGCAGACATGTCAGTGATAGAAAAAGAAAAGAAAATGTCTTCAGTATAGAACCAATAAACTTTAAAAGAGGGAAAGCAAAATAATAATAATAAAATTAAAAAATATTAAAACTTAAAAAAAAAAAGAGGGAAAGCAAAAGCTGGTGAGCCAACTCAGTGGGTAGGAGTCTGCTAAGTCTGAAGCCCTGAGATAATTCCTGGGGCCTACACACTGGAAGAAGAGAACCAACTTCTGTAAGTTATCTTCTAAGCTCCACATGTATGCCATGACACATGCACCTCTGCCCTGGCGTGTACATACACACATACACACACACACACACTTTTTAAAAAGCAGGGAAGCTGTCTGAAATTAACATAACTAAAGGAAGGATGGCTTACACTTGTGATGGAACTTTGAGGACTATCCTCTGGGCTACCACAAAAGTTCTGTGAACATAGCTCCCTTAGAATCCTATCACATCATATTTTACTGCAGAGCTGATTCTCATTTCTGTCTCTACATGACGAGGCAGATATTCAGTGAAAGTTTACTGCATAAAAGCATGATTGTTAGAAACTGGGGAAGGATAAAAAGAAAACAAGTCTAAAGAGGCAGGACACTTGGGAAGTTGCCTTGGTCTACTGTTTATTTACTCAGCATAAAGTATAAGCCTATTTGTAGAAAATGATCTGGAGTGCCCAGATGGAAGAAGCCAAAGAGAGACAACGGAAGCTAGATTATTCAAGCAATTCAGCTCCCTTAAAGAGGTATCTTATTCAGGCACTGACAGGAATCAAGTGAGGGATGAAGATGACAATGCACTCCCACTGAATTCAGAGGTTTACTACTAATTTTGAAAGATACACAACTCTTTAGCATCTGGCCCTTATGATTAATGAATCAGCTGGCAGAAACTCTCTGATGAAGCTAATTAAACAGTGTAAAGACAGTGGACCAATTTAAAGCAGTTTGCTAACAGTGTTACAGGAATGTTAAATAAATAATAATAGTAATAAAGGCATAATTAATGACGCATAAGCCAAGGAGCTAAGGGATTTGAGTCTTAGTTTGGGCCAATTTCATTTGTGAGCTTCACTGAGCAATTTATGCTACTAATTAGTATGAATAAATAGCATTATGGAGTGAAAGTTAGTATTATGAGCCCTAACAACTGAAGAATTAAGCGGAAGTTGGCTACTAAATGTGACTGACAATGAACAAATGACTCAATTTTTACTGTATATTTTATCTATAATATTTCATATTTGAAAGATGAGCCACTCACTCCTTATCACAGTTGAATAAAATGTATTAAACAAAAACTGTTTGAGCTTTAAAAATTAGCAGTTAAATCTAAGTCACCGTGACACTACATAAATTTTGTATTAGTATTAAAATGTGATTTTTCTATAACTGACACTTGATGCCTCTTCAATAAACTTACTTCTTTGTTGTTAATGGGGTTTTCATTTTTCAAAGCACTTTCACAAATATTAGTTGAAGCAGCCTTACCTATAATCTGACCACTCCTTGCACAAGTATGTTTATAAATTGATGTAACAGAAAACCCTATTAGCTTCCCACTGATCATAACACATTCCTTCTGTAGGGATTTTCATACAGATCAACTGGAGCAGTGGCATTAGGTATGATCTTTCCATTGTCTGTATCATCCCACGGAAACAATTCCCAAAAGAAGGGCAAGTAAGAATAAGTAAGAGAGATGATTTTGAGGCTATTGATCCATGATTCTTTTTTAGGAGGGGAGGGGATTGGGTTTTTGAGATAGGGTTTCATATAGTTCAGGTTGGCCTCAAATTCACTAGGTAGCCAAGAACATCTTTAAACTTCTGATTCTCCAATTCTCAGGTGCTGTGATCACAGGCCTGTACAATCATGTCCAGTTATAACCCACTACTCTTGAACTTGAATTCAGATCTCCAAAGTCTTGGAATTAGAGGAACTCTTCAGGATAGTAAGTTGATGCCACCTTTCTTATGGGATATCTTAGGAGGCAGTAGGGCAGCGTGATTAAAATGTAAGTATGAACTGAGCTGGGGATACAGCTCAGTTGGTAGTATGCTTGGTTAGCATGCAAGAGACCATGGGTCCCATCCCAGAACCTCACAAATTGGACATGGTTTCTCAAAAACAACAATGAAGAAATAAAAGTATGTGGGTTGGGCATGATGACACATGCCTTTAATCCCAGAATTCAGGAGACAGAAGCAAGAGGCCAGTTTGGTCTACATAGCAAGATCTCAGGACAAATCAAGGCTACATAATAGAGAGACTCTCTCTCAAGAAACCAAAACAGCTGGACATAGTTGTTGGTGGTGCTTGCCTTTAATCCCAGAACTCAGGAAATAGAGGCAGGCAGATCTCTGCAAGTTCCAGGACAGGCTCCAAAGCAATACAGGGAAACCCTGCCTCAGGAGGAAAAAAGAAAGAAAGGAAGGAAGGAAGGAAGGAAGAAATTAAAAACAAACACAAACAAAAAATTCCTCTGTAATAAGCACATGAGCACAGACCTAAAGGTAATGAATGCTCACTAGAATAATCATTGTGATTATCACTAAAGGAAAAACATTATACTCAAACTTTCTTTTAATTTATTTATTTGGTTTTTCGAACATAACAGTTCTCAGATCATTTTTATCTCTTTAAAACAAATGTGGACTATTTGTAAATCAAAGGAAAAAAGAAATTATTAAACCTACACTCATCAAAAGTTCTGAAACTGGGACTGGCAAGATTGCTTAGTGGGTAATGCTCTTGCCACCAAGTCTGAGTTCAAGCCCTAGGACCCACCTAGTGGAAGGAATAACTCCAACTAGTCATTCTTTAATCTACACACACACAATAAATAAAGTTTTTTAAAAATTTTAAGTTATGAGTCAGGCAGTAGTTGCATGTGCCTTTAATCCCAGTACTCAGGAGGCAGAAGCAGATGGATCTCTGAGTTCAAGACCAGCCTGATCTACAGAGCGAATTCCAGGGCAACCAGTACTACACAGAGAAACCCTGTCTTGAAAAAAACAAACAAAACCAAAATAAATAAATAAATTTTAGTGCCTAAACCATACCAATGTTGACATGTATATATAGAAATATATAGACATATAATATAGACAATAATATTACTATATATTTCACCAGGAAAAAGCATTTGTGGTACATTTCCTAACTGAATTATATAGGGGAAAAAAATCTTCTTTTATATCTGGGAAACTTCTACCTGAGTTGTATAGAGACTAGTCAGAAAAGCTACAATTACCAGGATATCATGCCCATTCATGTACCTATTTAGTTTTATTGTTCAAGTGGAATTACCAGATACAATATAGGATAAAGTATTACATGAGACATACTTACACTGAAAAATGAGTGTCTGGGGCTAGAGAGATAGCTCAGGGGTTAAGAACATGTACTGTTCTTACAGAGGACCTGAATCCAGTTCTTAGCACCTATGTTGGGCAGCTCACAACCACCAGCATCAGGAGATCTGACTTCCTCTCTGAATCCTGACACATCCACACACAAGTGGCATACATACACATGGAAATATACACATAACTGAAAAATAAAATACATCTTTAAAAAGAAACCTCGTGTTTACCTGAAAGTCAAATTTAAGTGAGTATCCTATATTTTTATTTACTAAACCAAGGAATTCTATCCTTCAGAATAAATCTATTTCAGAAAACACTAAACTCATTGACAGAAAAAAATTTAGTCTCCTGGAAGTTAGGTAATTATTTACCTTTTAGAAACTTCTTGAAGACCAAGCCACCATAAACACTTCCTGTAGAAGCAACTGTAAGAAAAAAAAATTAAAAAAATGTAAAACAATTAAGTAAATTTGACTTTAAAAAAATCACTGGAACTCTGAAATAACTGCTTTTAGATATAGAACATTAAAGAGACATTATTAATGAGTTCAGTATAAATAGAGGATAAAAAAAAGAGGTACTGTAAGGTACAAAGAATATGTGGGGGTTCATTATAACCAATGGCAAGTCTTTTCACCTATATTTAGCACCTATAATCAACACCAGGACTGTTCCTTTAGATGCCATTATACTTGAAAGAACAGGATTATGGAAAACTCTAAACTGCAACTACTGATCAGAATACATGATGCCAGTAACTAACATTTGAGTGTGAGCCTTGAAATACTGGCCCTTTTTTAACCTGTTTTACTCTGAAATAGAAGATATTTTGCTAGTCAAGTGGGTTAAAAATTATTTGTACCTAGATACCTAGCTTTCAAAGAAGAGCCAACCTTTTTTGTCCTCTTTTAAAGCTGAATTTAATTAGAATTTTACCTCCTCTTTTCAGCATCCTCGAGGCTGGCCCTCCCTAACCCCGATGCAAGGAGAAGCTATTCTCTGAATATGCTGAAGCTTTTGTGATGAAAACCAAAATTGTCTTTTAAAAAGTGGGTTTAGTGAATCCAAACACAGAGCACTGAGATAACTAACACATAACTAACACATCACTAACACGCATCTTCCCCTGCTTCAGAAATGTTAGCTGTTAGGTTTTTACCCATCAAAATGGAAAATTTGATCATTCTAAGAGCAAAGACATAACAATACTGATATCGAATAAAAATGAGGTTTCTTCAACAAAGAGTTGGAAGAAAAACTGGAGGAAATTACCTCAAAAATATGAAAACAGAGAATAAAATTTTAGAAAAAAATTATACAAATCCACTATCTAAGTAATAGAAACTGCTGTAGAAAAGCACAATCGAAATTTCCCACACCTGGGAGCTGGAGTGATGGCTCAGTAGTTAAGAGGGAAGAAGGAAGATCAGCAACTTCTGGTTACTCTCCTCTTCCTAAGTACAATTAGACTACATAGGCTCCTTGGCAAGTGCAGAGCAATTACAGCAATAAGGCTAAGTCTAAGCCAAAAAGGATGGGAACAAGAGTAATTCACGTAATTTCCAAGCCTAGTCTTAAAAATATTTGAGTTATGAGCCTTGTTCTCTTCCTCCATCCTTAGTTGAATGGATAGATATTAGAGGGCCTAGGGGAACACGAAGCCACAATACTGAAATATCTTGGATTCTACTTTAAAACAAATACAGCCCTGTACATACAGTTACCTGGTGGTAAAATAAGGAAAAAACAAACATCGGATATGTTAAATCACTGAAATTTTTCCCTGCCAAACTGTCAGGGTATAGGGTAAAGACATTTTAAAAAATACAAGGTCTTGAGAAATCTACTTCCCCTAACCCTCTTTGCCAGGGAGCTACTACAGTCTAAGAACCATTAAAATAGTGAGTAAGCCAAGAAATAAAGAGATTGGGATCCAGAAGACAAAATCCAACACAAGAGAAAAGAAAGCAAGAGACACTCAGAGAAACCCCCAAAACAAATAGCTCTATATACCAGAAATGGTAGGTATCAAAACTACAGCAGGTTGGAGGCCATCATGGTAGCTTATACCTGTAATCCTACTTATCAGAAAGCTAAGATCAGTGGACTGCTATGACTTCAAGGTCAGCCTGGGCTACAGGGTGAAATGCTATCTCAGAAAATCAAAACAAGGGATTGGAGCTGGAGCTCAGTTAGTAGAGTGCCTGCCTAGTATGAAGAAAGCCCTGTTGTGGATCCCCACCAGCACAGAAGGCAGGTGTGGTGGCATACATCAGTATGGCATACACAGCACTCTGGAAGTAGAGGAAGGAGAAGCCCAAGTTCACGTTGAGCCATAGGCCATCCTGGGTCACATGAGACTCTTTCTTTAACAGTCAGTAATAAAAATGCCTTTAAATTTTTTTAAGGGGCTAGAGAGATGGCTCAGCAGCTAATAGTGCTTAGTTCTCTTACAAAGAACCAGAATTCAGTTAACAATCAGGCAGCTCACAACTTCTATAATTCCAGCTCCAGAGCGATCCAACACCTCTAGCCTCCTCAGGCACTGGCATTCACATGCACACACTTACACACAGAAACACACATACCTAAAAATAAACCCATTTAATGAAAAAGGTATTAATACAAGTATGTTTATAAACAGGTAATATTAAAACAATCAGTTAATACAGTTAAAAGTATTAGACTTTAAGAGGGAAAAAGTCAAGGAAGGGGCTGGGCCATCTCATAGCTCATTTGGTGTGTGTGTGTGTATGTGTGTGTGTATTATGTGGGTGTATGTGCAAGAAATTGTGTGCATACATTCATGTGAAGGCTAGGAGTTGATATTTTGTTTCTTCTTTAATTAGCCTTATACCTTATTTTCCCCCTTCCTTTCATATGTATGTGGTGTTTGAGGCTTGTGAAGGACCAAGACAGACGTTAGGAATCTTCAGTTGCTCTTCCATTCATTCTACGAGGTAGGGTCTTTAGAACCCTGATCTCACATATATGGCTAGGCTCACTAACCAATTTGCTCCTGGCATCTTAGTCTCTACCTTCCAAGGCTCAAATTATAAGCAGTTCATCACACCCATCCAGCATCTACATAAATACTGTATATCTTTAGTCTCAGTGTAGGCTGACCTGGAACTCATTATATATGCCAGGCTGAACTCAAATTCACAGCAACCCTCCTGCTTCAGCCTCCCAAATGTTGTGACCCACTATTGTCTGGCCTGAACTATCTCATTACTAAAACTGTGTGCCTATTCAACTTAAAAACCTAAAACAAAGGAAGTTTCCAAAAATGAAGGAAGTCAATTTTTTTACATGTTAACACAAAACACTGTCTACTTTTACTTAAAAAGCATGTGAGACTATAATATACTAATTTCATTTTTTAAAATTCAATTAACTATATACAATACACAGAAAAATGTAGTATACTGAATGTTAATAATTATTTCAGGGAGTCAGATAACTAGAAAGTCTCATGTTCCTAATATGTTACTGTAATGATGTACTATGTCAGGTGTATATCACCTTTTTTCTTGACATACTATAAACTAACTACATTAAGGTCAGAGATAATAGAGTAGTACCATCTATGCCAAACATGCTGAGGAAGTCCATTGTCTTCAAAAAGCCTGTGGAACTGGGTTTCTTGATAAGAACATACACCAGTCTTTTCTTTTCCCTTTCCTTTATTTTTGCCTCTTTTGAAATTGCCAAAGTCCATACATGAAAAAAAGTAAAACTCAATATAACTTTGTTATGAAAAAGTAACTTAAAACCAAGAGCAAAAGTAAAATTGTTTTGAGCAAGTTTTTAAATTTTTATTTATTTTTATTTCATGTGCATTGGTGTTTTGCCTATATGTATGTATGTATGTATGTATGTATGTATGTATGTATGTGAGTGTCAGATTCCCTGGAATTGGAATTACCAACAACTGCTGTTGGGGATTGAACCCAGGTCCTCTGGGAGAGGAGCCAGTGCTCTTAAACACTGCACTATCTCCCCAGTCCCCGGTTTGAGCAATTTTTTTTTTTTCGAGGCAGAGTTTCCCTGTATCGCTTTGAAGCCTGTCCTGGAACTCACTCTGTAGACCAGGCTATCCTCAAACTCAGAGATCCACCTGCCTCTGCCTCCTGAGTGCTGGGATTAAAGGCGTGTGCCACCAACATCTTTAATTTTGAACAATTTTAATTTAAGGCAGGTATATAGTTTCATAACAAGAGTACTTCTTTTTACTTTCCCTATATTAAACACTTATAAATTCATTACCAAATACTAAAATCATTTTGGCCTTATAGCTACACCAGAAAAGATTGTGACAAATTGGAAACTTTATACAAACCATGACATGCAAACAGAAAATCAATAATTTTCTTCCTCTACTTACTAGTTATTGCACAATGAAGAGAATCTGGCAAGTGCTTAGAACTTAGTGCTTCTATGGAAATGGTTAGCTGCCCTTCTAGCAACGCTCTCTTTGATATTCCTGTTTCACACTTCCAGTGAATGATTAAATATCTCAAAATCTGAAAAGAACACAATTCAAGTAAAATACAATCTTTAAAATCATGATCCTAACAAATTTGTATGACACAGTTAAAACTCTAATATAAAGTACTGTATTCCTGCTTATGAAATCACAGTTTTACATTTGTTCAGAGCACAACATTGTATCTAAACACAAAAAATAGTTGGGAAGAGACATGAGTAGACAGTATAAGTCAACATAATTCACACCACAACAGGAAATTATGACGATAAGTTGCTAGGTAAGTTCATCTGGAGATGAAAACTAAAGAAAAATTAAATAGCAGTTTTTTTCTTTTCTCCCCCAATACAACCCAACTATGAAGAAGAATGGCATCTAATTATGAATCACCTTTGCCATTCTAATGAACATTTTTGAGGGTCAGAATGAGAGAAATGCTTAGCTACATTATTTAAGAATGCTGAAGAGAGGCTTTGCAGATGCCGCTGTCCCCTGCCGCTTCTTCCTGCAACCATGGTCAACCCCACCCTGTTCTTCGACATCACGGCCGATGGCGAGCCCCTGGGCCCCGTCTCCTTTGAGCTATTTGCAGACAAAGTTCCAAAGACAGCAGAAAACTTTCGAGCTCTGAGCACTGGGGAGAGAGGATTTGGATACAAGGGTTCCTCCTTTCACAGAATTATCCCTGGATTCATGTGCCAAGGTGGTGACTTCATATGCCATAACGGCACTGGCGGCAGGCCCATCTACGGAGAGAAATGTGAGGATGAGAACTTCATTCTGAAGCATACAGGTCCTGGTATCTTGTCCATGGCAAATGCTGGACCAAACGCAAATGGTTCCCAGTTTTTTTATCTGCACGCTAAGACTGAGTGCCTGGATGGCAAGCGTGTGGTCTTTGGGAAGGTGAAAGAAGGCATGAAAATTGTGGAAGCCATGGAGCGTTTCGGGTCCAAGAATGGCAAGACCAGCAAGAAGATCACCATTTCAGACTGTGGACAACTCTAATTCTTTTAACTTGCGGGCTTCTTACCACCTTCTGTAGCTCAGGAGATCATCCCCCACCCCATCTGTTTGCAATGCCCTGTAATCTCTGCTCTCACTGAAATTGTTTGGGTTCCATATTTTCCTCATTCTTCTCCAAGTCTAGCTGGATTGCAGAGTTAAGTTTATGATTATGAATAAAAACTAAGTAAGAATTGTTAAAAAAAAAAAAAAGAATGCTGAAGAAAGCCGGGTGGTGGTGGTGGCACACGTCTTTAATTCCATCACTTGGGAGGCAGAGGCAGGCAGATCTCTGTGAGTTCCAGACCAGCCTGGTCTACAAGAGCTAGTTCCAAGACAGGCTCTAAAACTACAGAGAAACCCAGTCTCGAAACCCCCACTCCCCCAAAAAAAAGAATGTGGGGGAGAGCCAGGAAGTAGTGGTTCACACCTTTGATCCCAGCATTCAGGAGGCAGAGACAGGTGAATCTCTGTGAGTTCAAGGCAAGTCTAGACTACAGAGTGAGTTCCAGGACTACACAGGCTACACAAAGAAACCCTGTCTCAAAAAACAAACAAAGTGCTGGAGAGGGACTGGAGAAAGTGTTCTAAGGTTAAGAGCACTTGCTGTTCTTGGAGAAGGCCAGAATTCACTTCTGAGTACCCACAAGGCACCTCACAATTTTGTTTGCTTTGCAGACCAGGATGGCCTTGGACTCAGAGATCTACCTGCCTCTGCCTCCTAAGTGCTAGTATTAAAGGCCTGTGACACCACACCAGGCCAAAAAAACTTACTTTATTTTTATGTGTATGAGTGTTTTGAGTGTTTTGTGTGTATATACATAAGTGCACCACATGCTTGCTGCCCAGAGAGATCAGAAGACAGCATTGCCACCAGCGTGCTGTGAATCAAGCTTCAAGCCTCTGCAAGGGCAACACGCACTCCAAAATTTTTATTTTTATTTATTTATTTATTTTTTTTTTAGGCAGAGAGTTCCGAGTAAACAAATTTGGGAAGGAAGATCCTGATTTGTGCCAGAGTTGGTGAAGACAGTTTTCCGGCACTTCTACAATCTAACAGCTTCCTTCACATTATCTTCTGATTTCCTGTGCTTCCTCTGTTCAGATTTTTCCAGTGTCTTTGTGTATAATGATATCAGTTAGGAAAAGAATATTGGCTGGTGAGTCAGAGCCTTGGGTTCTATCCCAGGTTTTATCATCTGTAAAATCCATCCCCCCAACTTCCTTTGACAATGACAAAGAAGACACGAGGGCCACGAATACCCTAAGTTATCTCAGAGCCTGTGATTCTGTCGATATTCGCCTGTGCAGTGTCCTTTAGAAGGTCTGGAGCTAAGTGCTCCATTAAGCATTGTCTGCAAAGTTCAGCCATGGAGCCAGGTGGACATTCCAGAACTAAACAGTTCGCAGCCCACAGGTATGGAAAACCTGGAATGAACACTTGGATTCGATCTTTTATCATTCAGCTCAGGGCTCTGCACCTCGCGGTGGCCCCAGGAGTTGTAATCACATCTTGTCCTCCCATTCCCATTTTGGATGGATTGGTGCTCCTTGGTCCACTCTTTGATGGCTACACATTTCCTTCCCGCCTTTCCAAGTCCCCTCTCAGCATAGGTGGGTGGAAAACGTTGGGAATCAAGCTGGCCGACCTCTGCCCCCTCTCAGAATCATCTCAGGTTTGGCAAACACCACAGTTCATGAGCCTTCGCGTTCTCAGCCTTAGGTTGTGGTGTTAACTCGCACAAAGGCAAGCCCGGAATACACTGGTTCCTCACAAAGGACGCACGAGGGTGATGTATAGTCCAGCACCTCCATGCTTCAGGCCTTACACCCTCCCCCACAATCACAAAGAAAGGGGAATGTTAACTTTTCTTGCCATTTTCTCCTCCACCTCAGGAAATGCCAGATCCCTCCGCCCAAACTTTGAGGTCTCCTCACAATAAATACCCTCTTCTCAGAAAAGTGTGTTTCTCTCCCTTCCCAGCATCACCTCACAGACAGCCAAAGCCGTCTTCTCCATTCTGTGAGGAGAGCGCTCAGGATTGCTAGTTGGTCACAACCTCTTCCTCAGGTAGGGCTTCAACCTGGACCAGCGCCCCGCCAGGCCGACGCGAGCCAGTCCCTTCCCCCGGGGCGATCGCCCCGCCCCCAGGCCTCGCGCCTGCGCACTACGGGGGCCCGAGGCCGCGCGCACCAGTAGGCGGGTGGGTGGGCGGGCAGGTGGCAGGGCTGCCAGGGTTGGAAGCGAGCCGGGAGGAGGCCAGGCGATGACTCCTCCTGAGGAGACTTTCCCACGGTCTCGCCAAGACGCGGCCCTCGGCCCTTTTCAAAGCGCTTTGACTGCCCTCGGCGTTTTCCAGGGCCGGTCCCTGGAAAGCTGCTGCTGCGTAGTGCAGGATTCCCAAGCTGGCCCTAGACCCCAACCGGCTTCGCCTTCTGTTCTGAGGGCGGTGCCTGGGACCAGACTTTGCTTCCCACATCTAACAGAGGGAAATATGGGTGGCAATTAAATCTGAATTTTAGGTAAACGATCTTTTTTACCCCGTATTATGCATGCCATGCAATAAGATTTTGGATACATACTGAGGAAATTATTTTGAAATTCAAAGCTGGAAGCTGCAGGCCCTGTATTCTATCTGGCAACTTGTCCCCAGGCCTCTCCCCAGTCTATTCTAGGAGGAATTTGGGAGCTTCCCACTCCCTACCAGGCCCTTCCCCACGTTTGACTTCACAAAACGTATGGCTGACAAGCAGTTCTAAGTGTCCCCAGCTGGAAGGAAGTCCTACAGGCTGCAGAACCGGCTTCTTGAGATGGACTTAAGCTCACAACTACCGAGATTCTGACAGATTGTTCCTTGGGCTGCCAAAAGAAGACACTGGTGTGAGAGATTCTTGCCTGGCAACGAGTTACCCAAAGGGAAGGGTGGAACAGGGTGTTGGCCGCTTTCCTTCGGAGAAAATTCTTCCACTCCAGAAGCTGGGATTGGACAGAACCAGCTGTGGAGCTGGCAGAGTGCCTGCCCAGGACAAACCTTGGTGCAACTTCAAAGAACATGTCTACTGGGACTTGAATCATACCCCTTTCCAGTGTGCTCAGTGCTCTTGCCCCGATTCCACATACCGGAGAGGTGGCTTTTATTTCTGGAATATTCATTTTAATCATCAGAATTAAAAGCTGACATTTGGGAAGTCACTGGAATCTTTCCCTCCTTTTCACATCTCATTTAAAATATTTCCCATTGAAAATGTCAGCTCAGCAGAAAAGCTCCGCCTTGAAAATACCACTGGAGATGAAGGGTGGGGGAACAATAGCTAATGGCAAAGTACTTGAGGTGAGTTGGTTGTCTTGGCTATCAGCCCTCCTCCTTGGAATGAGCCTCAGGGATAAAGGTACAGGGAACACCCAACACTATCCTATATGTAGGCGTACACCTAACAAAGTAGCCTGGGAGAGAGCCCAGAAGGGGGGGGGGCTTTGATATGAGGGTCCACCATTAGAACTTCCACAGTGTTTATACAAACTTGACATTTGCTGAGCCCCAACACTGTGTGTGCCATACACTCTCTACCTCTTTCTAGCCCCACTTGTTGAGAGTAACCCTGAGTAACAGGTACTACTAAACAATGGAAATGAGGCTCTAGGGAACGGTTGTGTAACACTCAGTTTGTAAATGTCACAACCAGAATCTTAGAACAAGAGCATCTCTAAGTCCTCTTTGCACTTATCTACATCTACCCAGAGTTTCTCCCACCTGCATACAACCTGCCTAGCTGTCTGGGAGTTCTGTTGATGTTGCCATAAAATGTGAACTCCCTCTACAAGATCCAGTGAATCAAAGCAGTGATATCCTCCTCTCCCACAAACTGGGACTTGAATAAGCTACAGCTTCCACTCACTTTCTTTACTCACTAGCTTGTATCTCCAACCTGTTTGGACCTAGTAAATAATATGCTGTTGGATACCACATTATGAAACCATGTTTCCTCAAATTCCTATGGGTTAACAAATGCTACACTCAGAAAGGACTGACCACTTATCTTCAATAGATTAAGATGTGTGAGGTCCAAAGAAATTAAATGGCCTGACTCAGGTAAGGTTACTCAGTCCACCAGGTTGACTAAGAAGCTTTTGCACATAACTGTGTACTTTCAGCCTGGTATCTTACTTTGAAATGCTTTCAGGGACCCGTTCTCACTGATTCCTAGTCTGTGTGGTATACTGTTTATGTTGTTATTCCTCTACCCACTCAGAAATTGGACTCATGTTTTATGTCTTCTTTGGATTTTGATTGTTCTGAGACAAAAACAAAACAAACAAACAAAACAAAAAACACTGCCTGGCCAGTAAAAATCCTACCCTCAGAGTCCCATATTGACTCTGGGGGTTTGACTAGAACCAGAACACCACAAGCAATGCTGCCAGATAAACAGTGACATTTTAGGGACTGTTAAGCTGCCTTTTACTTTTTAATATTTTCTCTATACATATTCCAGACACTTCTTAGGTCATATTTTACTCTCAAGTTCCTCCAATTCATTCACATGCCCCAAAAGAAGTCTACTTTAGGAATTTAGATAGATAATGTCCCTGGGACCATGTCCCCCTTGTTAAACTGTTGTGAAATAAGGTTCATTTGAGGACTTTCTCCCTTGGGAAACAAGCAACTATTACAAGAGGCTGCTTCCCGCATAGACAATGAGAAAGGGTTAACTACTCCACTCAGGTCCTGAGAGAAGTCTGCCCCCCACCAGTTCCCATAACCGGGTTTCCTGAAATGGAACGGGTCCCAGGTGTCTTCCACTAATCACATCCTTGCAAATGGGGCCATGAGCTCAGATTAGCTCATCTCTTCACCTTCTTGAGGCCTTCTCCACCTGGAGCACAGAATCTGGGGCAGCCTCACCACTAACTTCCTGTCAGGGGTCAGGAATGCTCTCACAGGGGGAAGTTAGGTTAGGGAGCACCAGAGGCCACAGTGGTGCTGACTTCCATGGCTATGACATCCATTCTAAGACTTTCAGGCAAAGAGCAATACCAAGGTTTACATAACTAAAATATTTTCCTCTTCGCCCCCATTCCCTATGCTTTTCTTCCTCTCCTTAAAGACTGGCTCTGGTACAAAGTGGCTTCCTGTTTTTCCTGGCTGAGTCACCCTTCACACAGTCTGAGTCCACATCTACCCATATCAGGGGCTGGGCCAGCCAGGAGATTTCATTCCTTTCCTTTTCATATCAATTCTCCTTTGCTTGGGGGGGGGCAGCTACAAAATCTATAGCACAAAGTGGCTCATCCCTCCATAACTGGATTTTTACCCACTCTGTGCCTGGTAGCTGATACACACTGGAACGGAAGTTGTTGGCTTTGTGGCCAAGAGTGGATGCAGCTGAGTAATCTTGTCACATGTGGCCAAGGGAACCTATTGATCCGAAGATCAGACAATCAACTGGATTCTAAGACAAGTAGGCTAAGACAAAGATCTATCTTGTAGGAGTCCCTGTAAAAAGATATTAGTGCCACAAGCTTAGTCTTGGGAACGGTATCCCAAGAACTTTACCAGGAGCTCAGGTCTGCCCATCTCAGAGCTGGTAAGCTGGGACATAGGTGATTCTTCGATCATCTCTAAAGATGACTTAATTTTATCCATTCTGGCTTTGATGGCTGCCTTCTGTTTCTCCAACTTTCACTTTCAGGAGTTGAAAAGAGGATGTGGGCTCAAACATCTAAAAGGGTCAGGATGACTAACTCCTTCCCATTTTACCACATACTTTAGGTGTTATGTTCTAATTTCCCACAACTAAAATAGTAAAATTCTCCAAGGAATATAGTTAAAATAACATCTATGAAATAATTTGTTAGGATCTTTAAATTACAAGAAATTTTAGAAGTCACTTAAGCTAGTATTTCCCAGGTAGAGAAGCAATGTTTGTTCCAATTCCTTCCCTTCACCCCCATCCCACCTTCTGAATAGCCACTCTCTTTCCTCTGTCTTTTCCTGGTGTTCAAGGTAGAGAATCAAGCCAGTTTGCATAGTGTTCTTAAGAATGGGGAACAATTTACCTGCTTTACTTCCCAATATTGTGCAGTAGTTAAGCCATCACTCACTCAAGTTGATATCTAGCATTTACTTGAGTGTCTTGTTAGCAAGTTTGCCCCACAAACCATTCCACTTTGGAAAGCAGTGGTTTGGAAGGGTTTTTCCCTCACAGGAGCTACTATCTCCCTCCATTTCCCCAGCCCTGTGTCTTCCACTCATTAGTCACAAATCTGTCCTTTGAAACCACAGAGAATCCATGTAATCCCCTTATAAAAGGCCCTAGGGAATACTCGGGATGGTTATTGTTAACCTGTCACAGTGGTTCAGACCTGGCCTGAATGATTGTATTATAGATGACCTGAGCTTGGCACATATGCTGTGTTCCTAAAACATTGTATAAACCAATTTCATGTGAATCAAATCATTTTGGACATATAGGGAAGTTGGCTGCTTTAAAAACCTGTTATCAGTTCTTTCATAAATGGAAGTGGGGGCTGGGCATTGAACCTGGGGCTTTATACATGCTGGGCAAGCACTCTACCACTGAGCTACACCCCCACTTCCTGTTTCACTTTTTAGTTTTGAAACAAGTGTTGTCTAAGTTGCCTAGTTGCCCAGGTTGGCCTTGAGTTCACTTTCTAGGCCAGGCAGGCCACAAACTTGTCACCTTCACCTTAGCCTCCCAAGCAGCTGGTATTACAGGCTTGAGGTCCACCAGGCCAGACTTGGACAATCTTTATCTAATGCAGAAATCTCTCCTGTTTTCATGCATTTCATTTTCCTTATGGCAAATTTGCCTACATACAAAGCATGCAAAATAACGATAATAGGCATAGCAAACACTGTCAAGCGCGTATCTGACTCCTGGTGCCTCACACCTGCCATATATCATTTAATTTCTCACCACAACTTCCTTCTATAAAATTATCCTAATTATTTGTAGATGGGGAAATTCAGGCTTAGAGAAGCTGCATACTTTTTCTAAGATCACTCAATTAGAAAGTGATAGACCAGAGTACAAACAAGGTCATGGAGTCCAGAGTCTATTGTCTTTACCATCAGGAGGCTTCAAATGCCAAAATAGAACAATATGAGTAAATTGGGCTAAGATGCTGAAAATTGACCTAAAAATGTCTACAGCTTCAAAGATAGACAGGCGTAAAACTGACTCTTCTTGGATATGGGCATTGTAACTCACATATTCCAGTACAGCTTAACTGGTGAGCCCTCAACAACTTCTCTTCAGCAATTAGTATTAAATAGAAGCTGCCAAATTTTATTTCTGGGGTATGGCTTAGAGTGGACACTTTTTTTCCAGGGCCTTTGTACTCCCAGGGGTTAATGGCATGAGCTTTTTAGAAGAAAGAAATGGCTCCCTATTGGCTGGTAAAAAGTTGCTGGATATCATGGTTGATCCCAGCCTGCTCCTAGATGGGTCAAGATCA